GCTCATGTGCTTCATCTAATAATATAACCGAATATTTTGATAAAGTAAAATCCTAAAATATATTTTTTTCAAAATTTTTATGAAATTTAGAAATAATTATCATTTTAAATTTTTGTTAATAATTTAGTTTATGACTGTTTACTTTAATTTATTTATCTTACAGACTGGATTTCCTTAAGTAAAACTCCATCTGTCATAAATTTTATTTTTGTATTGTCGCTAACATTTCCTTCGAATCTAATTAAATATGAGACAACATCGCAACCTAAATTCATTTCACTTGCTACTCTTTTCGACATTGAAATTGCTGCGACTCTTCTCGGTTGAGTTATCCCTATTAATTTACCATTGCTTTAAAAAAATAAATTATTTGGTTCCACTTAGTAAAAAAATTTAAATTAAATTGATATACACATTTACATGGATATATTGCAAATGAAAATTTAAAAAATAAATTTATATTTACCTTGCATAGCCAGCTTCATATAAAAATTGAGGAACTTGAGTTGTTTTACCACTACCAGTTTCTCCAGCAACTATAACTATATTATTTTCATTGATGGCCTTTAAAAAATTTTTTTTAAATTAATTATATTTTTAAGAATAAAAAATGGCAATTGTAAATTAAAACTAATAAATTTAATTCTTACTTCCATAATACTTTGTTCTTCTGCGACAATTGGCAATTTTTGCCTTTCTGCTTGAATTGAAGAACTTCTGTCAACTGGTACATATATTGTCGAAGAAGTTTTGCACTTTTCTTCAGGTTCAATTTTAATTTTTTTTAATAATGGCAAGTCACTACTTTTGTCCTCTGTTTTAATATCAGAAGATGTCATTAGGGTAGATTCACTGTTAGATTCAATTTTGACTTCTGGTGGCAAAATTTCTTCTTGGTTTAAACCATTATTTTCTTCAGTATTCACAGTGTTTGATGCTGTTTTGTCCTCATCATCATTAAAACCATTAATTTTACTCGAATCTGCTTCTTCGTCGCTTAATTCTATAACTTTATCATTGATACTTTTATTGTCGTCATTTTCAATATCAGATTCATCTTCAGATGAAGATGAATTTTCAAAAGCGACAACATTAGGATCATCTACTGATGTTTGATTTTTAGAAATTACAGTTTCTAAGAGTTTTTTTCTTTTACCTCCAGCTACACTATTTCTTTTAATTTTACCCTGGAAAAGTAGTATTAATCGAGTTGTAGATTTCCTTTTAAACAGTAAATATTATTTAACAAGAAAATAAGTTATTTGTTTATTTAAATAAAAAAATTAAAGGTATTACCTTTTTATCAGAACTTAACTGATTAAAAGTTACAGTAGTATTTAAAGTTTCAGCAAAATGTCTTTTCAGACCTTTTGTTTGAATAGACGAAATGGATGTCAACTGTTTTAATTCTTCTATTGGTGCTTGAATTTGTGTTAATGCATCCAGTAAAGAAGATCTCTAAAAACAAAAAAAATTAAAATTATACAACAATAATTTATACTCTAAATAACAAATGATTAATTAATAAAATTATTTAAACACTTACATTTTCTTTCTTTTTTTTTTTATCCAATATTTTTTCCAACTTTTTTCTTTCCTTTTTCGAAAGTAATTTTTTAGACACAATTTTTTTACTTTTGTCTTTTGTAGGTCTCTTTTTCGAGGGAAGTAAAAACTCGTTACATTCGTCATATTTTTCTGTTTTAAAATTTATATCTAATTTAATCTGAAAATAATAATAAAAAATTAATTTTAATTAAAAATTTATTTTCCCCACATTTTATTTTAATAATTTACTTACCTTAGACGCTTCGCTGTTATCAATTTCAGTTTTTATATTGGGTTCTCTTTTCCAATTATATTTTGTTTTTTTCCTCATTTTTAAATATTTTTAGGTATAAAAAAAAAAATCCAAGTTTTGACAAATCAAACTGATAAATAAATCAGTCCATGTGCTTTAAATTCATTTATCGCGTAAACATAAAACACTGATAAGTTAGAAACA